TAATTCCCCACATTACAAACGGCCACAGAGTGATCAAGAAGTTTAGAGGTACTGGAGGCACGTGTATTTTGTCAGCATAGACCTGGCACTTGTGACAAGTTCTTGAGTGGTGATGGCAATAGGTTTCCATAGTCGACCAATAGTAACATGTCCTTAGAATCTTCTTAGCCATAGTATGTCCACTGGAATGAGTAGCAAAGATACCTTCGTGCGTATCTTCCATAATCTTCTCTGCCTCTTTCTTGTCCATACAACGAAGCAGATTCGAATCATAGTTGCGCCTGTACAGAATTTTGTTACTTAGGAAGAACTTAGCAGAGAACCTCCGTAGGAATTTCTTGTAATTGATAGATTCCCCCTCAAGGTGCTCTTGAGCCTCAAGGTATCTTCACTATGTAAAACCAAGACTTCTCTTCTACTCCGTCAGTATCAACTTTGTAGCAGTGTGTTGGTTCGTCTAGTCTTTCAATGGTAATATGGGGAGCCTCATTGTCCCATCTAACCTTGAACATAAACGACATGGTAGCCAACATGTCTATCAACTGATTCTCTTCTCGGGGGATGTGCTCAAAAGTGATCTCCTTGATGTACGGAATTAAGGTCAATACATGCTCTCTATAAGGAATGATATTTGGGTGCTTAGTATCCATTCTCCCTTGATTTGACTGATTACTAGGGTTGAGTCCCCGTATACACTCAAGAGCTTGATTCTCGGATCAATAGTAGCTCTGATGCCCATGATGTACGCTCTATATCCGTCCATGTTGTTGGTACAATCGAAATAAAGCCTGGTAGTAAATGGTGTATGGCAACCCTCTAGAGAGATAATTACAGCACCAATTCCATTTCCAAGTGCATTAGAAGCTCCATCAAAAACCATAGTCCATCGGGATCCTGGCTCAGGTCCTTCATATGGTCCGGGTTCTTCACAATATGTAACTAGCATGATGTTCTCGTTTGGGAATTCAAAGTTCATAATTTGGTAGTCGTCTATGGCTTGATGAGCCAAATGGTCTTCCAGTAGATTTCCTTTGATTTCTTTTTTAGTGTTGTACTGAATGTCGTATTCTATCAAGACCATTTTCCATATGGTTATTCTTCTGGAGAGTGTGGGCTTCTCGAATATGTATTTAATGGGATCCATTTTACAGATCAATAGAGTAGTATGAGTCAACATATACTATCTTTGTCGGTGGGAAGCCCATGCCAAAGTGAATTAAGTTTTCTCAAGTAGTTAGTATCTTGTTTCGCAGTCGGTAAAATATTTGCTAAGGTAGTATATTGCATGCTCTTTTTGACCAGACTCGTCATGCTGGCAAAATACACACCCCATTGAATTCTCTAGCACTACTAGATACATGATTAGAGGTGTTCCTTCAACTGGTGGTATCATAATCGGAGGTTCTTGTAGGTACTCCTTGATTTTGTCAAAGGATATCTGGAAATCATGGTTCCACTTCACTACCTGATCTTTCTTCAGTAACTTAAAGATCGGTTCACAAGTAGCGGTCAAATGAGAAATAAATTTGGCAATGTAATTCAGTTGTCCTAGGAAACCCCTAACTTCCTTATCATTGTGGGGAGTGGGGATTTCTTAAATAGCTTTGAATTTAGTTAGATCAACCTTAATACCTTTACCGCTGACAACAAAACCCGGGAGTTTACCGGATCTCACCCCAAAGGTGCATTTGTTTGAATTCAATCTCAGCTTATACTTTTTCAGCCTCTCGAAAAACTTGTGTAGATGGTCAAGATGCTCTTCTTCAGTTTGAGATCTGGCTATCATATCATTGACATAGACCTCTATCTCATGATGAATCATGTCATGGAATAAAGCTACCATAGCATGCTGGTATGTGGCGCCGGTGTTTTTCAATCCAAAAGGCATAACCTTGTAGCAGAAAGTGCCCCACTGTGTAACAAAGGTAGTTTTCTCTATGTCTTCAGGTTCCATCTTGATCTGATTACATCAGGAGAAGCCATCCATGAAAGAGAATATCTTATGTTGAGGGGTGTTGTCGACCAAAACATCTATATGTGGCAGTGGGAATTCATCCTTGGGGCTCGCCCTGTTCAGATCCCTGTAGTCTAGCACATATGTACCTTGTCGTCTTTCTTTGGTACCAGGACCATATTTGCAACTCATTAAGGATAGGATGTCACTGCTTAGAAACCTATGTTGAATTGCTTCATAACTTCGGCCTTTATCTTCTCTGACATCTCGGGACGCATGCGACGAACCTTTTGTTTTATCGGAGAACAACCCTCTTTCATTAGAAGACGGTGAACCACAATATCAGTATCGAGCCCTGGCATGTCCTCGTACGACCAAGCAAATATCTCAACATATTTATGTAACATCTATATTAACCTGTTCTTGATACCGTCTTCTAGGTTGGCCCCTATCTTGACTTCTTTCCTGTCTATTTCGGAACCCAAGTTTACCACTTCAATTGGCTCTTCATGTGGTTGAATAGCTTTTTATTCTTGCACTAACAGTCTAGCAAGTTCTCTTGGTATCTCACCATCTTCCTCACCTTCGTCCTCGGCTTGGTATATCGAATTTTCAATGTCATAAGTGGCAATAGCAAAATCGTTATTAACGAGATCCAGAGTGGATGTGGATCTGCAATGTATTGTATGGGTCTGTGTAAGAACACATAGCTATTTGAAAGTGATAAAAGTAATGCTTTTATTAAATGAACATATGTTTATGAAATGACAATCCTTAACAAACGAACTGTTGTTCCCCGGGTAAGGTACAAGGCTTAAAGTTATTGTTTAAATATTACAAAGCCAAAACTTGAAAGCAATAAAAACAGAAATGTAGCTATTACTCATGACTAAAGGAGATAGAGATAATGTCTCCCGTCTTCCAGTTACTGAGCCTTTTGCCAATGGTAGGAAAGATCAACCTATCAAGGTCATAATCACTGTCAGCATCTTCTATCACGATGACTTTGTTGTTGCTGACACGGAATGGTGGTCTTCCAGCACGAGCGTGACAAACAGTTATCTAACCCTCTGCAGTGAAACCCAAACCAAATTTATCATATTTATACGAAATGTCAGGAAGCTGACCCCAAATAGTACAACCACCTTCTTCTACAATAGCTTTAGCATCTTTCAAGGAAGCCATTTTGGGCGGAACCCCAGTGACTTTGTAAATGGAAGAGACGTCTACAGATGAGGCAGGAGGGATGACTTCAAAATTTTGACAAGGAGGCTTGATGAATTCTCCTTCCATCTCTACATACCGGAATGAGTTCAAGTGGCTAACCATATACTCCTCTTCACCGCAGACAGTGACAATCTTTCCGTTTGTAGGATATTTTAACTTCTGATGTAGGGTTGAGGTAACAATGCCTGGCCCATAGATCCAGGGGCGTCCCAGTAAGTAAGAGTAAGCTGGCCGAATATCCATTACATAGAAAGTAGATTCAAAGATCTGAAAACCTACCTTGATTTTAAGATCCAATTCTATGTGTACCCTTCTTTTTGACCCATCAAAGGCTTAAACTATAATATCACTGGGTTTCAGTACAACCCCTTCTCAATTAAGTCTGTCCAGAGCGCCCTTTGGTAAAACATTTAACGAGGAACCAGTATCAACCAAAACATGAGCCAAAGTAGTGTCCCTGCATTCGATGGAGACATACATGGCCTTATTGTGATTTCTCCCTTCCGAAGTCAGATCAGCATCAGAGAAACCGAATCCAATGTCAATCGTTAAGCTAGAAATATAGCTTCCAAATTGATCGGCTGAAATCTCTTGTGGCACGTGAGCAATCTTCAAAAATTTCACTAAAGCATGTGCATGGGCTTCAGAATGCAGTAGCAGGGATAACATGGATATTTTGGATGGGGTCTGCCTCAACTGTTCAACAATTTTATAGTCTCTCTTACGGATGATCTTCAATACCTCTTCCAACTCTTGTCTAGAGGTGTCTTCAACTACAACTTCTTTAGGCGCCTCTGTATGGGCAGGCTCCGTTATTTGCTCTTTGCCCCGAGTCTCAGCATTTAACCTGGTAGCAGTAACTTTAACATGTGTAGCAACAGTCTTCAGAGAGATTTCCATAGGGAAAACCCTTTCGTTTCTAGTAACCTTACTGGTCCCAACAATATTGTCAATGTCGCGATCAGCAACTTCAGTAACTTTATCTTCAGTAGTTGGTAACTCTTTCTTAATTCCATGGTAGTAGAAGTCGGATCTATAGTTACATGAGATAGCTTTATCCAAAGAATATGGGATGGGTCCAGGTGTAGTGATGATCAGAGGGGCGGCTTATGGATTGTCAATAATTCTTATAGGACCTTTGGAGGTAATCCTGATAGGAGGGCTGGATATTACAGATACGTCTTGACACAGATTCTAAGTAGACGAAATCTTCTCGATCAGATTTATATGATTATCCATTAGGCGTTGAACGCCTTCTTTCAGCAACTTGCAGCAATTGGGTTGGACTGTGCAGCAGTAACATTTTTCAACACAGCCCGGAAATAAACCAGCATGCAATAGATTCTTCTTGATGATTAGTAGGGGAATAACAAATTCACTTATGGTAGAAACATAAAGGACATCGTTAATAGCACTTATGCCTTTGTCATGCTTCGACATAGGTGCAGTAATCACATTTGGGGTCTCCGGATGATCAAACTCAATCTCTTTGTTGTCAATCATATCCTAAAGTTTGTTCTTCAAAGCCCATTAACTAATGGTCTTTTGCCCGGGGCTATTGGAATGGTAAGCATATTTCGCATTTGGATTATAACAAGGAGAGGAGGTGTTGGGATTCCGGGGAGCATCCCTTAACATTATCAGTTCCGCTTTCAACAGATGTTGTAGTGCCTGAGACAATGGCATATTGATTATCGTAAACTGTCTTCTCAGAGCGTTAGACCTATGTTGATTGCTCGGTTGTTGTTATTGAAAATGCGCATGATTAAAAATTAGCACCGCTCCTACAAACTGATTGGTCACTTTTAACACGGCCCTTCTAGCCATAAACAGCATTGGTATCCTTCTTACCACTGAATATCTTTTTCACAGCACTTGAAGACGCAACCACTGGTAATTTTTCGCTCTTGATACCACTTTCGACTTGTTCTCTAGTTAGAATCAGCTCAGTGAAACCAGATGAAGAGCTTCCAATTATATGGTTAAAGAATGGACCTGTCAGAGTGCCCATGAACATGTCAAGCAGCTCTCTATCAGACAGTGGAGGTTGAACTCGTCCAACCAGATCTCTCCACTTTTGGGAATACTCTTTTAACCCTTCATTCGATCCCATAGTCATGTTTTGTAATTGCACACGAGTCGGTGCAAGGTCAGCATTGTATTGATACTGCTTGTAAAAAGCAACAGCCAAGTCTTCCCAAGTACGAATGTTGGTTCCCTCCAGCTCATAGAACCACTCGAGTTGTGTACCAGACAAACTTTCCTGAAATAAGTGAACCCATAACTTTATGTCAGTAGTATGGGGTTGGATCTTCTGAACATGGGATCTCATATGAAGTTTTGGATAAGAAATACCATCATATTTAGCAAAATTGGGGAGCTTGAACTTGTGAGGGATAACTACCCCCCCCATAATAAGATCCAGCTCTTCAAAATCCAATCCAGGAACTTTCTGGATTTCCATGGCCTTGAGACGATCTTCCAACTGTTTATATTTATCATCCACGGGAGGATATTGTTCATCAAAATAGTCTTCATCCCCAGGAATTTTCCCAGAACCTTGATTGCTTCCACCATCAGCCCTAACACGTATGCCGTCTTCCTCTTGATTGTCATCTTCATCAGAGGAGATAACACAATTCTGAGCTTACTTAGGGAGGTTTCTTAACCTTCTCCCTATGTTAAGGATGACTGGTTTCTGAGTCTTCTTCTTTTTGGCAATGAGCGCCATCATATCCTGTTGCCCCTTGGCTAGGTTCGGGAGGGTCTCCTGGAATTGGGCATTATGTGCTTGGAGATCCTTGACAGTCTGTTCTAGAGCCATCTTTTATTTGTAATAAACAACAAGAAGATGAGAAAACCTGTATGGGAAGACCTGTTGACTGAAGAACTTCGCGCCGTTAAACATCCTTCTATGAGCATCAAGCTCACCATGTCAAGTGGGTCCCATCCTTTGACTCAAGATAACACATTTCAGTCTTCAATAGAATTGGTTAGAGGAAAATAAATCCCCTTGCCCCTTACTAGACGTCGGTTCATGATACTTTGACGATATTTAGTTAGAGGAAAATAAATACTCTTGCCCCTTTCTAGACGTATGGTTCATGATAACCTGCATCACGGGCCCTTAAGATTCTTGAAATGGTCAGTGAAAATGATATGGAATGATGTCATGATGTTATGATGTTATGTTCGAACAGATAATCAAACACAAGCAAAGCACACAAAGGCCTTAGGTTTAAGGCTTGCATGGGGTTTGTAGGTAAGTACCCTCTTGAAGTTTAGTTAGCTCAACCTATCCTAAGAAAGTAAACAGGTTCTAGGGATCTAAATATCATTGTTTTCCGACAAATTTTGTCTAGCACGGTAACTGACTTGCCACCAAATAAAACTCGAGAGTCGAATCTCAATGAGTGTAGTATTGAGTATCAACCAACTTCGGACTACACCAAAGTCAGCTATCTCACTACCTTCTAATGTCTAAGTTGGGTCAATTAAGGTTCTAAGGTCAATTAGTGCTTATGACACCACGCGGCAGCCTAGTATTCTCCCGGACTGACTCGAGGGACACCAGTACAAACCAATGTGTCGCACTAATATAGCCATCACTTCAACCATATCGGTATACGTCGTATATTTTCCATGATATATTGCTACATACCTAAAATGCCCCCAGATCCGGGTGTAGGATATTTGTAAGAAAATAAACCCGAGCAAGCCCCAAAATGTAAATCAATCAAAGCAAACAAGTAAGCATTAAAAGTAATCTAACTCTAAAGGTAACCCCACTTTTAGTATTTCCCCAGTAGAGTCGCCATTTCTGTAATACGGAAGAATAATTGACTTTTGGTTTTGTGTTTTATCACAAATGTTGCGGATAGCAAGAGTCCCACCAACTTTTCTTTTATCCAATAAGGAAAGGGTGAAAAGAACAGGAAATACCTTCTAGATTTCTGATTTTGTGGGGTAGGTTATGAAAAGGGAAGGTGTTAGCACCCATTTCATCTGTAGTTATCTACAGGCTCTTAATTGCTAACTCACTTTGGAAATGCTGTGTTTGTGTTTGAAAATTCCTAAGTACGACAACTTTGTAATGATTCTTATATCAGTTAAGAATGCGTACAAAGTGTTTGTTTTTTAAAATATTTCAGAAGGAGTGTTTGTGAAAAAGATGTTTGTTTTTGTGAAAAAGCGATTACGAGCGATCTACCTACTCAAAAGTCTTTCATGTTATTTTCCTTCTCCTTTAGATAGTGCTATCCTACAATTAGTTAGTAGGAAGCCCTATCGTTGGATGTGAAGGGACAAGTGTAGGGTCGTCGTTATGGTCATAGAAGGCAACATATAGGGATACCTTAGCAATTCGAAGGCACTGTCATCATATATTCATAGGAAACATCGAGGGACAAGATCATTTATCGTAGGCAACTCGAGGGACATTGTGGGACTATGATCTTTATGATGATTTTAACCGAGGGTTTTTGTTAAGGGTATCCCTATGTTCGAGGGACATGACCATTTTTATCCGAAGGCAACAATTGGGGTTACACTATAGGTGAGGGAGTGAATAGTGATTCAATTCAGTTATTTTATCTTGATTAGGGTTATCTAGCGTTTCGTTTTAGATCTTACCATACACACCCTATTAAACTAAACACTAAGAGTAATAATAAAGCAGTAAAGTGCGGGAAATAGAAATCTACGCTATTACAAGGCTTCAGGAGTGGGGGTACAAATCATAAAGTCAGGGGAAAAGTAAACCCTAATTAAACTATTACATAGTGTAGCAGATACATAATTGGGGAAAAACTAATGGGAAAGTAATAAAGCACGCGAAGCGGTAAAAAGAGAAAATGGAAAAAATCGTTTTATGATTGTATGATGAAAAAAATTTATAATCAACCTAAAGTCTAATTTATTTTTATTGATTAAGAAAAGTTAGGTAATTAAATTAAGCAAACCCTAAAATCTAGGTTGATTCTAATTTAATTGAGAAAACCTAAAAAATAAAATTAGAATTAATTAAATAAAACCTAAAATTAAATTAAATAATTAAATTTAAAAAAAACTAAAATCAAATTAAAAACCTAAAGTTAAATTAGAGTTTGTTAAAAATGTTTTCTTTTGAAAAAAAAAAGGTTTTAAAGAAAAAAAGGTGAAAAGGAGTGAGAAACATAGAAAATAACTAAAAGAGTAGGGGTGGGTGTTGAACCCACGCCCTCAGCAGTTTCACGCAGTAAGCTTACCACTAAGCCAAGCACGCGTTGGTGTTAGGATACGCATCCAATGCGTTTTGTACTCTATCCTGTAAAATATGAAAAAATATGAGAATTTTGGTAAAACTAGGGATTGAACCCGTGACCTGGGAGACCAATGCCTTAGCGTGCGTGTTTCTGCCACTGGGGTGGCTATACATCTGTTTATTTAATTGAATCAATAACTATATATTATAAGTCTGAATACATTGACCGGGGAGGTGTCAGAGCCCTATCTACGGTCGTCTTCTTCGGCGGCATGTTTTATTCAAAACCTGCAAAATCAAAGCATTAATGATCCAAAAATGTCCTACCCCCCTAAATCAAGGGATGCAATCTAATGGAAGTATTTTTGTAAGATAAAACGCAAGGGATCAAGAGCTATGGAAAAATGCATGGAATCGGTGTTAGCATGGTGGTTCACGATTTAGCATGCATGGGATATTGTGATGACCCAAACCTGTTCAAAAAAAATACATCTCAGAAATACGTTAGTGACAATAGTATGACTTAAAACAAAACAAAAATTAAAGTATGAAATTTGCAAAATTTATGAAATCGAAGATGCAAGGTATGGTGTTTACATGTGTTTTGCAACCTCAAAATCAATTCCAACCTTACTTTGTATGCTTGTTAAGAGTGAATAGAGTGGTTGTTTATAGTGAGAGGGTTTTAACAAGGATATTGAAATTTTAGGGTTCTTGAATAAAGTTTGATATTTTGACAAGTTTGTGGCAAGGGTTTTTCGTGTGGCCTTGTATAAGAATTGATATTATATAGTGAAAATTAGGGCAAAAGGGATGGGCTTGGTCCTTAAGAGAAAGGCCTTGTATTTTATTTTATTTATTTTGCAATATTAATGAATAAATAAAAAATAATTAAAATAAAAATAGGTCAAGGGGTGTATGAATGGATTTAGAGGTGTATAAGGAGTATTGGACACGTTTGGACTCTTAAACCATGGCCCAATAGCCCAAAATAACAAGCTTGCTCACTTTGAACTTCATGCATTTGCCCAAAATTTCCCAACCTGGAATGGTCATAACTCTCTCAATTTTCATCTTTTGAAGGTGATCTTGGACTTTTTGGAAAGCTCAAGATGTCCTCCAAAATATATATGTTATTCATTTGTGCTTTTGAATACATTATATTGATGTATGTTGCCTTGACAAAAAGTGTCTTTTTATTGACTTTTGAAATGACCTGTAATGTATTGGCTTATATCTCTCAAATGATGCACTTTTTGGACTTGATCTTAGAGGGGAAAAGTTATAGAGAATTGAATTCCCTTCAAAATGATATTGGTTGGGGAAAAGCTGGTGAAGCGTGTGAAAGTTATGCTTGGTCAAAGTTCAGTTGACTTCTCCTAAGGAAACCCTAATTTGGCAACTTTTGACTTTTGATGATTTGAGGGCTTTTCTTGAAGAATCATGATCAACCTTTGATCAAATGATCGATATGACTTCAAAATGTTGATGTTGACCAAAAATATTGAAGTTTAACTGTATGTTGACCATGATTGACTTTTTACCCAATATAGTTAATTTTCAGTCATCTGAGCCATTTACTGAGCAAATTGGTGATACAAGGCTTGAAACTTGGTATGACCATTCTTAGGGACATATGAAGAACCATTAAAACCATTTAAGACATTGGAAACCCAATATTCCTCTAGAAATACAAAACCCTAGTTGTGAGTCCATTGCTTAGGAGGAGAATTTGTCTGATCAATTTTTAGGCAACCTTGAGCAAATGAGGACCTTAGAAGAATGTCTTGAAGAAAAATGGGAGGGAAAATTTTGGGGTACAACACTATTACAAGTCATATGGGAATGGGGATACAAGTTTATGAATAGGGATGTAT